TAGCTGAAAAGACACGAACGTTGGAATTCGTCGGTTTAAGCATCTCTTTAGTAGCCTTGCTCGCTTCGCTTGCTATATTCTGTCGCTTTAGGTAAATCACTTGTTAAACTATTTACTTGTTACTTATTAAAACTATTCCCACCTAGGGAATTATGTTCACATCGTATGCACTTAAATCAATTTACTAATAAGGAATTAAATTTATTTATTAATTCAATTACTTAATTATTTAATAATAGTCGTTATTTTGTTGCGAAGCTGCAGTGAAATCAGAAAGATGGAAATTAATTGGAATTTTATGAAAGTGATGTAATATTGCATCTTCGTGAAAATTAAAGCAGATTATCTGCGAACGAAACAGTGCAGGAATAATTTTATTAATAATTTCAAAAATAAGTAAGAAATATGCCAAGAAATATACTGGAAAAGAAAATTTATTATTTTTACGCTATATATTTTGAAATAATTTATTCCAATTATATTTTTACTCCAAGTGTAACTAATGCTATTTAATTATTTAATTATTTCTATCTATATAATTATTTCAAAAATATTCTAAAAATAGAAGAAACCTTAGAAACTAGAAAAACTCACCTCGGTGTGTTGTTAACACTATCTAATTTTAATGTAAAACTTCTAGCATGTAAAACACAGTATAATTTCATAGATAATAATTTATTTCTGTAGAAAGCGAGAAAATACGTTTGTTCGAGAAAACTAGGTTAAGTCCTTGCCAGAACTACATAATTAATGAAATGAAGCACTAATGGTATCATATAGCTCCCCAGATGAAAGAGCCATTTATTTCACGAATCAGTCACAATGATTGTAACACCTTTCTCACTAACAACTCTACATTAGACTATGAATATATGAATGTATGAGTTGTGTCAAGACCAAAATTTTGTTAATATTCATGTGAATTCAGGTCTCTAAGAAACACCAGGACCAGGATACACAAGAATCTGTTCGTTGCCATGGTTGTCCAGGTTTTGATTAGATTAACAGTGTACATAGACATTGAAATCCTGAGGAGGAAGACTTATGGCATTCAGAGGGGCATTGGCAACACTGTAAGTGCTTGCATGTAACAATTTGTTACTTTACAACTGTATGTAGTGTTTTTGTCAATTGACTTACAGTCTGTCACAGATCCCTTGAATACAAAAATTTGAAATACATTTGACTAACAAACTTTCATTTTCCAGATTAATGTACAATCAGTTATAAAATTTTAAGCATTGTAACAAAAACAGTAATTTCTTGAGCATTAAAAATAAAATTTTATATTACTTGAAGGATTTATAAAATATATATGTATTTAAAGGAAACAGTGTGATTTGTAATATTTTTAGTAAGAGGAAGAAGTAAATAGGTACAAAAAGTTATAATATGACAAAAGTAGATTTAATATTATTAATAGTGACCTCCAGTCTTTGTAAAATCAAAGGTTTTTTTAATTTGTAATGCAGCAAATTCAAAATCATTTTATATTGAAAGTGATTCTAGCTATTAGCTAACAACTAAGATTACTTTACTAAGATTTATTAGACTATGTTAAAATCCGATAAGAAACATTTTTGATAAATAAACATTCAATTTATCTTCATTTTTCGCCCAACAGCAACCCATTCGTTATGCATTCGTGCTTGCTGTCAGACCCTCAGTCATTATACAACCATTAAAATTTCATTACTAACAATAAAAAACAAAGCGTAGACAAATGAAAAGTTCCATTTTATACTGGGTTAATACAGTTATATTATATTATATATTATCCACCTGGAATTTTGTATTTCTTTTTTTTATCAGAAATATCTTTATTTTGAATATATGGTCTAATATTCTTATATCATTTTTTGAAATGATTTTGTCTAAATTTAAAGAAACAAGGAATATATTGCATATTAATTAATTCTTTAACTTTTTAATTCTTCCAACAATATTTATAAATACAATATAATTTACTTTCGATTGAAATGAAAGATATAGAAATTAGATGAAGAAATTATTATATTAATTAGAAATGATTTATTATGTAAATGTTAATAATTATTATGTAAATGTTAATAAAGTCTATAAATATTAAGATCTATTTTAAAAATTTTCTTTTTCTTATAGCCTGTGCTTTGTGAGGCCAGCTATGCTCTTTTGGAATACGCGAAAACCGCAATGTTCATGTGGATGTTTATAGAGGGTCTGTTTTTGCATAATATGATCACTGGTAAGTGGATCAACGTTTATTGCCCGAGAACTTTCTAAAACTTTTGTGGCTCACTCTTTTAAAACTCTTCCCACCAAGTACATACCATTTTTCATCTTGCTTCAATGAAAATTTATTGTACTTATTTTATTATATACTTGAGAAGAATATTAAAGTTTTCAAGATAAATTAGATGAGACGACCCAACAAATTGTCTATATTATAAAGTTATTTTTATTTTAAGAATTTAAAGTCTGATTACAAGTTCTGCTAAATAGTCGTCTTCTCCTTTAATCGCTGTTTCAGTAACAGTGTTTCAAGAAAACTCATACTACAGGATATATCGGTTCGTCGGATGGGGATGCCCTGTCGTAATGACGTTAATTTGGGCCACCATTACCGCGTTCTGTTATCATCCAAAATCGAAGTAAGTCGGAGATCATCATGTCTGTAGGAGATAAAGCTGCAGCTCGACGAAATTTAATATTGAGCAATCGATAAACTCCTAAAACTCGTTCTCTGAGAACACTGTCCAAAGATTATTTAGTTATCTATCATGATGAATTTATTGGATATTCTTTTTAGATGAGTTTCAACATTTTATAGGACGTAGAAATTTATTCAGTTCTGAATTTTGTTGTTTTGTAAAAATATTTGTATTAGATTTTCCAGATGCTGGTCCGGATACAACTTGTCTTCCTATTTTTGGATCCTGGAAGGACCCAGATTTGCAGTAATATTGGTAAGTAATAAAGTTTAATTTGCAATTGAAGGCTGTGTACAGTGCACTATAGAAGTCATTGTATTGATTCTAATCCTTTAGCTCAATTTTTTGTTCCTGCTGAACATCGTTAGAGTGCTCGTAATGAAGCTTCGACAGAGCCACACTAGTGAAATCGAGCAAGTCTTGTAAGTAATCTTCAGGTGACAGTAACTTCACTAGCAGAAGGAGAAGAAATCAAAACACGATTGCACTTTATAAAGACTATCAATTAAACGAGTTAATTAATTTCCAGTTTTTTATTTAAAATAATGAAAAAAAGACAAAGACAGCGGAATTAATTTAAAATTTAATTATAAATGTAATTAATTTAAATTTTAATTATATTACATTAATATGATTAACGTTAATAAAACGCACAATAATAAAGTATTGAAATAATGATGAACATAGTAATTCCGTATTTTATAGGTATTATTAATGAGATAATAATAAACTCTAATCGGAATTTGAAAAAAATTCTTCTCCAAGTTACAAAAAAATAATCTCAGCATCATTTGTCAATTTTCATTTTACAGGAAAGCTGTGAGGGCAGCTGTGGTTCTTCTGCCTTTACTAGGCATCACCAACGTGCTCTTCATGATCGAGGTACCTCTGCACAATGTGAAGAAATTCGCACTGTGGTCTTACTCCACGCATTTCCTTCAATCATTCCAAGGGCTTTTCATTGCAACGCTCTATTGCTTTTTAAACGGCGAGGTAAATTAGTCTCAACAAAAAGAAAATTAACTGAAATTTCTGTGCTCTTGTGTTTTATATACAATTGAAGTTTGATAGAGTATGATTGAGTTTTATATACAATTGAAAATTCTTCATAGTGAAGTCTTTTTGTTTGCTTCTCCAATCAATAATTAAACTTGTACGATGGTTAAACGAGAACTGCATGTTTATGCATTATGCATGGAGATAGGAAGGTAAACAATGGATTCATGGGAGTGCCAAGGTCGCACAAAAATTCTAACAAATCATTATCAATGAATTTTGATTCTTATTGAAAACTTTTTCTGTATATTATTTGTAAGTTCTTTGTTATCTATTTGCGACTCAAGGCTGAAACAAATTGTAATTAATTGAAGTGTTCTCTATAAAAGGAAGCATTAATTTCATTAATGTGTTCTTTACATGCTATTCGATAATAGTTATTACAGTATAAAAATTTAAAGAAGGTGAAAAACAGATTGCATTCAATTAGTAACATTAGCTAAAACTAATATAAAGCTACAAAATGCTTTGAAATCTATATACTAAATAAATTAATCATGTGTACATAAATATCAGTAACTTATTCATTTATATTGCTTTCATAGTAATTGTGTTAATAATATCAGTAATTTTTTTAAAACGTTTATTCCAAAATTATTCAAATACAAAAATACGTCGTTCGGAATTTGTGAGGCGTTAACGTTAATGTACAAGGTCCGATGTTTCATTCAGGATATGAATTATAGTGGGAGAAGATAGTGAAGTGTAACGTGCATCGTGTGGGCGCTTGACCCTCGATTAGTCTTGACTTATCGGTCATGCAATTTATGTCGTAATCATTTCCCACTTAATTTCTAATTAAATTAGGAATTTCAATTATGCCTCGTAATAACTTAGTGGGCGGTATAACGATTAAATGATCAATCAACTGTTGTGCAGGTGAGACTTGCTCTGGACAAGACTATCTCCGTTTACCTTTCTCTAAGAGGAACTGATCTGCAAGCAAGGAGGCAGTCGACGTTCAGCGGTTGCCAGCCACAAAGAATTGCGTCCGGTGAGTGAATTGTTAAACTTATCATTTAGTATTCTACTGTTATTACTTAGTATTTTGTTATTGCATGCAAAATTAAAGAAAAGAAAATGCTTTATCAATCTGTACTCTTAGTAATTCAACTTTCAGTACGACATAAACATTTTGTTAGAGTGGAATTTATTTTTTTAGAAAAATATTACTTCAGTTTATTATTGTTATAATTATGATTATGAGAGGGATCTTTCTGTTTTTTTCTTTTTCATCACATAGATGACTATTAAATTTTATTCTTACATATGAATGTAAAAATTTTTAAAATTTTTAAACATCTTTATGTTTTTTTCTTTTTCATTACATAGATGACTATTAAATTTTATTCTTACATATGAATGTAAAAATTTTTAAAATTTTTAAACATCTTTATGTTTTTTTCTTTTTCATTACATAGATGACTATTAAATTTTATTCTTACATATGAGTGTAAAATACATGTTTCTTTACGCAGGATTTTTTCAATGATTTCAAAACTCTTTCCAAATTATATTCTTTTAATTTCAATCAATTTTGTTTCATACCTTTCCTGCTTGATACGTTATAATTCAACCAATTTTAAAATTCTCATAAAACTCCACATCCCCGTAAATGTAAATCGCATCGCGTCCACGTGAATTAGCCAAAGACGTTCAGTTTATTATTTCTTTTAATTATGAATTTATCATTTTGCCAAAGCAGATTACATTCGCAGGTATAATTTAGATTTATCAGAGCGTGCCAGATGCATGCAATTCTGTCCGGTATCGGCATATTATTATACGTAATTTTTGATATTATTATCAAACGTTCACTGTAACATGCAATTTAACAAACACAGTCTGTACAGTTAAATTTCACGTTTAACCATACTTAATAACAAAACGTCAAATATTTCATTATCGTTTGAAGCATTGATTTCGAAAATCGGAACAGAAATTTTCATGATCTCGTTAGTCGTTGCGTTCACGATTAAAAAGTTATTTTCATTGATATCATCGTCGCTGCTAATGCCGATGAAACAGCAATTGTCAATTGATTAAACACTGCAGAATTCCGGGCAGTTTTTGACAAAGTAAAGTTTATCGAAGGCAAATATAACTGCAATGAGTCGCGTTCTGAATCGTTGATTTCAAAGTCCCCCCCTTTGTTGAATTCCAATCGTCGACAAATTGCGATTGCAATTACCTAAATCGTGAACATTGTAGCGAGCGACAACGTTCCTCAATTCTCTTTGAATTGTTGCCATTGTTATTATCATTGTTGTTATTACAACAGCGACTTGGGTTTTATTGGCTCACTTTGGCACATTTAAACAAGAACATTTGATCGAGAGATATTTTGAAAATAATTCGTGTTGTTCGGTTCAGTTCAGTCGATAACTATTGATTTGAAAGATTTATTAAAACGACACTGTCAATGATATAATTGATGACAATCGATGGCATTATTTATATAATTAATAAATTCCTCGGTATAAATGGTATTGATGTTTATTCGTTTATAAAAAAAAATAACAAAATATTGATACGAATTTCATGACGATTGTCACTTCTGCAGAAATGAATTATCCCACCGTCTGTAACGAAAGATATTAGTGGGAAATTTTTGCAAGACGCGGCAAAGCCACGAGATTATTTGTTTAAGAACGGTCGTGAAACGTTCGGAAGTGTTAGCGAGTTTTCAATCAGATCAATGAAATCCAGAAATGCTTGTCCGTGACCTGTCAGAGAGTTGAGAACGCGTATTGGCCCAGATACTTCTCTGCAGTGTCGATTTCACGAGGCAAAAGATCCGAACCGATCGCGGAGATCGTGAAAACCGGTGAAATCAAGTTCCCTAGGCTAAAGAAATTTAATTCGTTAAGTGAGAGAGGATTGAAGAACGAGAAGAACGAAAAGGACGGACAATTGACAGGATAATGATTATTGATTGGCACGTGCAGTGATCGAAATGGAAGAAGAGGAGATGAGATCCAGTGGATGGATAAGACTGTGCTGTCGAGGTGGAAACACCCCACCACCGGACCGACCTGCCGAGTGAGTAATGATCGAGGAAACTTCGCCAATCCGCATTTAGATCATTACCAGCATCGAAGGTCGATCCTCCTCGCAGCACCGTACCAGTAGGTAAAAACACACGCACACGGAAGCATGTCCTGTTGCATCTCTTCTTCCATGCCACCTCCTTTCTGATCCTGATTCAATTATACATCATCGTCATGGGTTTATGGTTTTATGTAATTTCGTTGGGATAAAATTTACCTCTCCCCGGTTGAAAGAAGTACTTAACAAAGTTCTTTAAGTAAGTTTATTCTTTGATTTAATTCCTCCCGTTCAGCGAGATTGATTTTATTGAAACCGGTTAAATGAAAGCCTTGTTATTTATGAAGGTTTAACGGGTTTGGAATTTATAGGAAAATTTTTGACTCTTCCCGGTTATTTCCTTCTAATTTTGTACTTAGAATGAAGAATTCGATTTAAAGAAACGAATCTCATAGCATTGGAACCCAGTCAATGGTTAAATCCAAAAATGGATCTCCCTGTCTCTCCCTGGCTCTCCCCTGCTCTTCTCGGCGATTTCTTTTTACTTTTGTACTTGGGATGTAAAATTTCACTCAAGGAATCAAATCCCATGTCGCTGGATTCCAATCAGTGGCTAGATCCGAAGTTGGATCTCCCTGGCTCTCCCTGTCTCTCCCTGTCTCTGTCTGGCTCTCTCCGATCGTTTCCTTCTAGTTTTGTACTTAGAATGAAAAATTCGATTTAAAGAAACAAATTTCATAGCATTGGAACCCAGTCAATGGTTAAATCCAAAAATGGATCTCCCTGTCTCTCCCTGGCTCTCCCCTGCTCTTCTCGGCGATTTCTTTTTACTTTTGTACTTGGGATGTAAAATTTCACTCAAGGAATCAAATCCCATGTCGCTGGATTCCAATCAGTGGCTAGATCCGAGGTTGGATCTCCCTGGCTCTCCCTGTCTCTGTCTGGCTCTCTCCGATCGTTTGCTTCTAGTTTTGTACTTAGAATGAAGAATTCGATTTAAAGAAACGAATCTTATACCATTGGAACCCAATCAATGGTTAAATCCAAAAATGGATCTCCCTGGCTCTCCCTCATTTTTTCCATTTTTCTAAGTTTTTTCGAACTGATCATGATTCTAATAAGCTATTTATTTAGCATTTCCTCTCCCAAACTCTGATATATTTAAAATTTCCTTGAATTTGTTTTATATTTCTTTAAACATTTAAAGCGTGGATTTTTTTAAAATAATATATATATAATATCCTAATATCCTAATTAGAACTTCCATATTTTCCTCGAATGTCTTGAAATTTCTTAAACTATTTCAACCATAATCACCTTTTGTCTTAAACTCTATTCTCACAACTAATTTCTCACCTGCATGTTGTTTGCATGAGCGAGTATAATTCGCATGCAAAGTTCTTCTGCATCTCTTAGCTTCTACAAACCAAGCACATCTCAGTTTTATATTTGACTTTTACAGTTTTTTATTGCTGGAAACGAACTGCCACATTCATTAACGAACATGTTGTTCCATTTGGCAAATAAAATTGAAAAGCAAAATCATATCAACAGCAGTTTTTTAATTAATAAACAAGCAATCAATATGTATTTCTGTTTTTCAATTTTGCTTGAACCAATTGCTTTTCCAAAGTGTCTGTTATACAGATGTACGATCAGTCAGTTTAATCAAGAAAATGTGTTGCAATTCGAAATATTCTGTGTTCAGACAGAAAATCTATATATAGTTGAAGACACCTGTTTTTTCTGTGGAAGCAATACTAATTTGCGGTTTCAGAACAGCTGTCTGACTATGGAGCCTCTTTGGACTCATGGACTTTGGACAGGAGCTTCAAAATTCCACTCAGTTCATGAAGGCAAGCTGTGAATATCTCTGGCTGCTGACAAAATGAACTCGAACAGCTTGGAATTAGTTTAAAGACTTGCAATTTCAATTTCTACCTGGAAATCTGATTAAATTAATGGATAACGATTGTCCAGCGTAGAACTTGAATCAATTAAAAATCTAAATGTTTCGATGAACTTCTTAACTTGATTATAGTCATGGAATTTCTAAATGGTATAAAGACATTGTACGACAACTACGAATTGTTAATTGGTAACTTATTGATGTGAGTGATTGAGTGAATCTCGAGGAAGAATGAAATTTCGAATTTAAAGTCTTTTTATTGAAAAGTTGAATTGAATATAACATAAATCAATGTAAGTGGATTAAAAAGAATCGTTGAAAACGATTGTATAATCATTGAGACTTGCGATGATATTCATATAAATGTACACTATTCTTCTTTTTCTTCTTAATCATTTCGAAGGAGATACTTCATGATACTATAAAACTACAAAAACGACTAATCAGCGAAATTCAAAAAAAGTTCAAATGAAATAAAAGCTTTGCGCGCTTGAAACAGAACTTACAGAAAGCAGATTGATTCAAGTGAGATCCATATATATTCTTCTATATCTTTATTTGAAAGATATCAAGATATAAATGCAAAAAAAAAAAAAAAATTTTTTTTAAAATATCAAATATGTTGGCAGCACATAACTGTAATAAAAGGAAGGCGAGGGAAGAAGATAAAATAAAATTTGAAGAATCAAAAGATTCTTAAATTCTACTGTTTCTACTTTTCAGAGGCGTTGTCAAAGCTTTCAATAATAAATTTTTGAACAGAGGATTTTCGTCAGGTGTCTGTAACGCTCTCTTTATAAATCATAGACTGACTACTGTGACAAAAGATATATTGTGTCGTATTTTTAAGCTTTCGTCAAATGGCCAGGGTAACTAGTTGTAAGGCTAGCTACATAATTAGTGGACGCATCATCGCTTGTACGACTTTGTAGCTGTGCGTTTTTCTAAAATGTAAATAAATTATCGTGTCAACATCTATCCTCCCTGATGCATTTCTTTTTCTCTTTTGGAAAATTGAAAATTACCTGTTCTTAATTGAGAAAAAAAGAAAATGTAGTACCTTAATAATTACAGATATCTCTTAACAAACATATATACATCGTTTCTCTAAATAATTTTTATTGCCACCATAAATATACAAAAGAAGAACACGTTCTACAAAGTACAAGTTCATACGTTATTCGAAAAAGGAACATAATTTTTCTTTCGTATTTTCGCAGACCTCGGTCAACGTAGGACACTACGATTGCATAGGTAATACCCACATTTATTTATACAAACCCACATATACTTATACAAACAGTTCTTAAATGTTACGCTACAAGTTAAAGCTACCTAGAAATTTCTACACGATGAAAATTTAACGTTTACAAATTTCAACGAATATTCTGTCATTGACAGGACGGATTTTGTAGACTGATTCGGGCTCCTCCACTCATTCAAAATGTTCCTCTCTCTGTGCGCGAGAATCGACAGAGAAGACAATAATGAATAACTTCGCAGCAACCTTCTGCGAAGGTTCCTAAAAAACGAATGATTTTTTTTTTTTTCTTTTTTTTCTTTTTTTTCGACGATATTCTACGGTACAACGACTATCACAGACACGTTTTCGAAAGCATCGATGAAAAATGCTCACCAGCGCTTACCAATAAATGCACGCGATTCACGAACGTAAACACAACCGGACTAGATGAAGAAGAGAAACGTAGATCTTGTGAACGCAGAGAAGCAGAGAGAGAGAGAGAGAGAGAGAGTGCATCGATCAAACGGCCACGTTGAAATTGAAATAGAAAATAGATCGGCTGTTCGAATTGAAACGAAACAGAGAGCACCGATTTAAATTCGTGGATCATTATTAAAGCGTACTCGAGCTGATTGAAGATTATTCGGTCACTGTTACTTCAAAGTAATAAATGCCTTTTAATAACGTTTTATCAAAAATCGTCAGCTTTGTTATTAATAGATATTGTCTGCTTCGGTAGAAATAGAACTCTCTCGCTGTCGAGGAGAACCGAAATTCGTACGAGAAGACTATTTTACTGATTTGAGGGACTTGGTACCAAAATGGCGCCGTTTCGACGAGCCCTTTAACACTAAACGTAACCGGCG